CGCGGCCGCCGGCCGCGCCGACCTCGTCGTCGACGGCAAGCACTTTACGCTTGAGCGCGACATGTGGAGTGCGAACAAGGTGACCAAGACGTTCCTCGAAGAGAAGTTTGTTCCGAGCGTGATTGAGCCGTCGTTTGGCGTCGGCCGCCTCCTCACGGCCGTCTTTGAGCACACGTTTTATGCGCGCGAAGGCGACGAGAAGCGCGGTGTGATGGCGTTTCCCGCGGCCATCGCGCCCATCAAGGTCGCAGTCCTCCCGCTCAGCACGGCAAAGGAGTTTACGCCGATCATGCTCTCGCTCGAGCGCGACTTGCGTGCGCGTGGCATCGCCTGCAAGAGCGACGCGTCCAGCGTGGCGATTGGCCGCAAGTATGCGCGCGTCGACGAGCTCGGCGTCCCGTTTGGCGTCACGATCGATTTTGAGACGGCGGGTGACCAGTGCGTCACGGTGCGTGAGCGCGACTCGTGCGCGCAGCTCCGCGTGCCGCTCGCCAAGGTCGTGGCCGTGCTGGACGACCTCGTCGCGGGGCGTGCGGCGTGGGCCGACTTGACCAAGGTGTTTACGGTCGTCGAAGCCAAGAAGGACGAGTAAGCAGCCAGCTCCTGCGAGAGGTTGGTAGCAACGACGTAACAACAACACGATATGTGACTATCTATGCATGGTTTTGCCGACGATGGCACTCCTCTGTCGAGGACTCACTCGACCGCCGCCGCATGTCCCTCGAAGCGTTACGTACATGGACGACTGACGCGAGGACCACGTGTCGACGACGAGCACGACAATGACCAAGATGCAGATGGCACTTAGTCGACCACCTTTTGTCCAGTCGGTGGATTCCTGCTTCACATGCAGGAGGTGCCGGGGTAGGTGCTGTCCCATTCTTCTCTTTCCCATTGGCGTTGGCATCGGTACCATCAAGGCACAGCTTGTCAACAATTACCAAAGGGGCGGAGCCAGCTCTATATGCTCGTGTTGCAACGGGGTTGCGGAAGGTCGCTGCCCACGTCGCCAGCCCCCGACGATACGAACTTGCTCGTAGCCGAGTCGAAGTCGAGGAGGAGACAGCTCGCTCGCCGACATATATCGACCGAGTAGCAATCGTCCAAAGCTGTGTTGAGGAAGCAACGACATGTACAGCTGCTCGGTGGTGGGTGCTGGCTGGACAACGGGCTCGGGGCTTGCAGCTTTGTTTTGACGGTCAGATGCTCGCAAGCACCGACGTGTTGCTGGAGGATGCGCTCAAGGGACTTGCTTGACAAATGTCACTATAACAGTACCATGTTGATAATTGCAAGTCTTGGTGGACTCGAGCAGTACGGAACACTACGGTCGTACACTTCTTACTTCTTGAGCGCGACTCCTAAGCCGACACGGTCCACTTCTGGGGCTCGGGCGCGGCCGCGTTCCAGGGCAAGCTCGTGATGAGGTTGCCATAGAGCGCCGGCGGGCTCTCTGCGTCGCGCGTCAAATAGCTGCCATCGACGTCCTTGAAGCGGACCTGCGTCTCGCTGACGTCTTCGCAGAACCAGTGGGTCGTGTTGGACGCGTCAAACGAGGTGTACCGCAAGACGACTTGGTTGGGCTTGTTGGATGGGTTGCAGTCGGCGCAGCGGCTCCAGTACTGGGAGCCATACTCACTCTGGAGAGCCATCTTACCACCCGGGACGATGCGGATATGGACCGGTTGGGCCCACTCGCCGGTGCGGGCCGGGTACGGGTAGCCGCCAACTTGGCAGCCGCCACAGTACCCAAGGCCTCGGCCGTTGTCGGCTTTAAGATAGATCACCTTGCCGTCGGTCAAGGTCTTGCAGAGCGAGAAGGGTGCCGGCGTCGATGGGGCCGGCGTCGTGGGGGCGGGCGTCGTCGGGGTCGGCATGTCACCACACGCGTTGGTGGCGGTGACCGAAGCGATGGCCGAGGCCATACAGCCGAGAAGGGCGTAAGCGAGCTGCATGGTTCTCAAGTCGAAATGGAAAATGAAGCTTTCGGTCGAGACGGACAGGATCCCTTCTCCATTTCAAGAAGCGTCGTCATACTACAGTGCACTTCTGTGTAAAGCACGCGTCGGTCACACGCACAGCCACTTCTCGACTGGACGCGTTGGAATACCGAGCATTTGTCGCTTGAAGTGGCGAGAGTTTCTCGGTCTGAGAACGCTTAGTACAACGGGAGGAATTCAATGAATACGTCTTCGCAACTGACTCGCTTTACCCTCTCACACCACACAAAAATGCGGTTTGAAAAGTGCCCCACCCACAACCCGGAACGGTGTCCGTATCCAGGACGCCATCAGTATGTCCTAGTCATTCGTAGTCATGGATATCCATGTGCCCGACGTGACCCGCTAGCCTACAACATCCCTGGACGAAGCGTTTTGAGTGAATCCCTCGCAGAGCTGTCGGAGCAAAAGAGACGATGATGTGTCTGCGTAACGCTTGGAGCCCTCCAAGCAGTTGTGCTATCAGCACGATCAGTTTCGATGCTGATAGCTCCTGCTGATAGCTGGTGCTGATAATAAAACGAGGCGTTCCAACGATACTTTCTTCGAGTAATAAATTAGGAAAGCCACGCTAGATATTGTGCATTTGGATTCTGACACCTTGGCACGCGATGGGCAGATCCCATTGCGTGCCAGGGTGTCGCGCGGTCACGAGTCCTGCATCTGGTACAGCTCGTAGATCCTGGGAGGCAATATACAGTTATCATACCACAAGGTACCAAATCTAGATGGATCGTCACCACCGAGAGCAAGGACTTGTGTCGGGTGCTGTCTTCGACCGAATGGACACAATATCGATGTGATGACTCGGAAGCTGAGGCCTGCGTCCATGGAGACGTCGCACAACATGCAATAGGCAATGTGTTCTTTCAATGAATCGAAATGCCTGAACACTGCAGGATTCGCCTTCATTGCACCCGTTGGCTTGACCATCCAAGTCAACTTACCAACACGATGTTGCTCTCGCTGGCCTCCAAATGACTGCATGTATCATTCTCGGGAGGTTTACTGCGATCGCATGATCTAGAAGACTACAACTTAGTAGGACACACAGTCAAGGCGAAGAGCGCCTGCTCGCGTTATATTTGTGCATCCGATGAAGATGGAACCCACCTCGCACCTCTAGCATACCTCCACAGCACGGATCATGTTGCCCAAGTCGATGCAGGTCTTTTTAGAGGAAGAGTTGTGCAAGTGAGTACTAGTAGCGACAATACCGTACATTTACAGCTAGGGCGCTGCGGTCGTCGTACACGGGCAGACTAAATACATCACTTATTGGCTACATATTATTTGGGGGCTCAGTGGCTGTCCTACGGGTTGGCATAGAGCGTCACCAATCCCGTCCCTGTGCGCCAAGTCGCACTTGTTGGTCTGTCCGTCGGGCCAGGATCACCACGTGGTCACGGTCCACAACTGGGGCGCGGGTGCCGTCGCGTTCCAGGCCACGCTTATGATCAGGTTGCCGGCGAGGTTCGCGCGTCAAGTACTTGCCTTCAATGTCCTTGAATCGGATGTGCGTATCGCTGACGTCTTCGCACGTCCAGCGCGTCGCGGTCGACTCTTGCCAAGTCTTGTGGCGCAAGACGACTTGGTTGGGCTTGTTTTTCGCATCGCAGTCGACACAGCGGCTCCAGTACAGCTTTTGGTTCTGGTTGTACAGGGCGATCTCGCCACTTGGGACGCGGCGTACATTGACGTTTTGTGCCCACTTGCCGGTGCGGGCCGGGATTTTGTAGCCGGCGACAGAGCAGCCATTGCAATATCCAAGCCCTTTGCCGTTGTCGGCAATCAGGTAGACAACCATACCTTCAGTCAGATTCTTGCAGAGTGAGAATGGCGTCGGTGTGGGGGTCGGCGGCGTTGGCGTCGTCGGCTCGGGGCTTGTGGGTGCCGGTGTCGTCGGCTCGGGGCTCGTGGGCGTTGGCGTCGTCGGCTCGGGGCTTGTGGGTGCCGGTGTCGTCGGCTCGGGGCTCGTTGGTGTCAGGGTCGTTGGCGTTGGCGTTGTCAGCACGGGAGCCTCGCCGCAAGCGTTCGCCGCTGTACTAGTCGTGACGACCGACGCCAGAAGCCCGAGAAGAATGTAGGTGAGCTTCATGGTTCGAGTCGAATTGGGAAATGACCCGATATCAGACTGGTAGTTGAAAAAGTGACTGTGCAGTACTTGTCCGCTAAACAGAGTACACAGCGAGTGGGCAATGTGTGGGTGCAAGAAAATATGGCTTCAAAATTTTGAATCGCTGTGAGGACCCACCTTGGATGGGCCAGTGTCGTGTTCGTCTCTCATGCAGTGAATGAATCCATACATTAAGACCTCTAACCGCAATCATTGTGACGCTGATAGCATCGAATGATAGTTACTAGTACGAGAGTACGATGACCATAAGTGCACGTGCATATTGATGTCCTCAGCCCAAGTGCTATCCGTGCGGATAATCAGTGCTTGCTATCAGTGCTTGCTATCAGGTGCTACAATTCCTAACGACCCGTTTCTCTGGATCAGCATTGTTGTGCGATGGCTTGAAAAAAGCTCTATCAGTGCTGGTATGATTCCTGCAGATGCAATAGGGTTGCGGTTACTCGTACTCATCACGCGGCTATTACACTATTAGTTGACCCTTGAGCTATAATTTGAGAGCTTGCGACCGATAGACCATTGGCCAATTCGACGCGGAAAATGCAACTCCCTACGCTCTTCTCGGTCTTGTGGCCTCGGTGAACACCGCGCTCGCCCCCACGTCGCTGCTCCAACGACCCCAGCTCCGACGACCCCTTCAATGTATTGGATACAGCATCCTTCTTGAAGCCGACAACCGGCAACGCATGGGGTCGTGTGAAAACAGTTCCCCGGCTACAAATTCCCGGCGCGCCTTTCAGATTCGATTAAAGTGGTGACATTCCCGGCGGCAGTTTGGTTTCCAGAGCCTGACAAACGGTCTCTTTATGAGCCGCTGCGACGACTGCGGCAACGCGGCCGACCAAACCGTGTTTCGCTCCGCGACGTGGCCAGCGCCGAACGCGACGCGCTGGACGTGCGAAGCCGTACACGCGCTTTCGGCTCAAGGACGTCACCGGCGAGTACTCTCTGGTCGACGCCGCTCCCAGTCGCAGCATGGTCACGAAATAGTTTCATTTCTCTTGCAGACAAGTTGTATTCTAAAGCTGCACGTGATATCGGTGTGGTAGAAAGAGGGCAGCTACAGCTTGCTCGAACCCACGTCGAGCTCGAGGAGCGAGCCGGGCGACGCGCTAAAGAGCGTACCGATCGTCTTGCCGTCAACGACGTCGACGATGCTGCCGGGAGCTGCTGGCGCCAGGACAGCAGCCTACACCATAACCCGATGAGTATCTCGCCAACGAATCTTTAGAAAAGGGGACTGTCTGTACCTGGACGAGACCCGAGTTGACGGCCGTGACGCACGCGAGGACCTTGTCTTGCTGCCCGAGCGGTCCGACGCGCGAGCTCGGCGCAAACATCCACGGCTGCTTGGACGCATACTCGTGCACGAGCGCCTTGGTCGACGGATCTATAATACCGGTTGAGATTGAGATTGAATTTGCAAACATTCAAGGGGCGTACCGTAAAGACCGACGGTGTCGGTGAGGACAATCATGCAGTCGACGCCGACTTCCTGCGCCACAAGGGACGCGAGCGAGTCATTGTCCCATGCGATTCGCTCCTAGATGACAATATCGTCCACGATATAGCTATGAGGTAAGTAGTATCTACATACGTCGGCGTCGGTGAGGGGCACTTGGCGCTGCGAGACGACGTCGTTCTCGTTGACGACAGGGATGATGCCCACTTTAAGCAGCGCCAAAATGGTCTCCTTGACGTTGGCTCGAATCTGCGTCCCATGAGCGACCTGCAGAGATGGCGACGACGATGGAATGTACTACCTGGGGCACGCGAAAGTCCGTGTCGGACGTCAGAATCTGCGAGCACGCGAGATGGTACTGCGAGAAGAGCACTTCGTAGAGCGACTGCATCCCGCTCTGGCCTACATACAGCAGCAGCGTCGTCAAGAAGCCATACGCGCCGGCGAGAACGTTGCACCGGCGGCGGCGCAGGCCTTGGGGTTGAGGGCGGCGGCGGTGCCGAGGCGGCCCTTGAGATGCGCCTACGCCAGACAAAGGAGGATGAGCCCAAGACGTCGATTGTAGCCATAAAGAGGCGACCTGCATAGAACCCGAGAGCATGTGCTGGCGGCGCAG